TTTCTGAAACCTTTAGGCAAAGATAGACTTCATGCAAAGAAAGAAGATGAATGGTCATTGTCAAAGTGTCTTTTAATGTGTAGGGTCCACAGGCTTATGTGATAAAAAGGTCCTTTGTGGCCAACATTCACACATGACTAATGAAAACAATACGAACTGAACTTTGGCAAAACCTAACCAAAGTGTCACTGGGAACCACCTCCTTGGAGACAATTAGACGCAACTTTACCGGCCACATTCCAAGAGCATAGCAATTGCCTGAGGAGAAGAAATAACACTGGCAAATATTCAACTTCTAAATAACCAAGTAAACAAGATGGAACATTGTTCCGTACACATTTTTTCAGGGGGGAAACCAGATAATTATCCACAAAAGCAATCTCTAGTCAGTTATCAGCCAGAAACTGTTATTGAGTTTATGTTAATGAAGATGGGCTGTATCATCACTTCTGTGCAAGCTGCAGAGTGCTGTACACTGTGGGGAAGGCCTTGGGTTGCCACATGGCTTAATGCATGTGAAGAAGAGGTGCCTTCAGGCACATCACAGCACCCCCACAGGCACGACCCCCACAGACCACACCAGTCCATGGTCCCTCTCACTTTTCTCTCCCCTCAGTCCCTCTCTGGTGCCCTCAATTGTACGGTCAGATTTCTAGGGTCTGTTATTGGCTTGGTTTTATCCATCTGCTCACTCCATTGTAAATAAGACTTTATTTACAAAGTTGGGCCTTGTCCTGTGTTTTTAAATGCAAGAAAAGGACACAGAGCCTGGCTAGCCTCCTCTCCAGCAGAGTGGACCTGTTAGTAAGAGTTGACGTGGAAAAGGTACGTTTGTCATTTTTAATGAACAAATGAAAAAACAGATTTAGACACAGAGAATGGGAAAATTACAATGAATCTTTCTCATTTGATTCTGAAAATAACTGTGAAACTCAGGCAAATTCAGATGCTTTAGTCAGGTAAGTACTTAACATACAGAGAGAAATAAACCCCTATCCTAAGAAGTTATAACTTTTGAAATAATGGAACTGGAAAAAAAAATAAAACTTGAAAGGTAACATTTTGGCATTGAGAAGATTTTTTAAATAGCTGAAAACAGGAACAACTGAGAGAGACAGCAGTGGAAGATTTCTTACAGAAGACAAACATTACTTTAAAGATTTTATTTATGCATAGAAGAACCAGGTGTAGGTCAGAGGTATGGGTCGTGAAAGGATCCCCAGAGACAGAGTGGGAAGCAGAGCAGGCAGATCCCCTGAAACACACTGCTGAGCAGAACTGCGGGCAAAATGGGAGAGATGCTGTGCCATGTGGGTCTGCTCCCTCGCTGGGAATCGAACTCAGGCCGTTGTGGCGGGCCTTTGCCGTGGTAGCACTGAGACTCCATCCCTTGGCCACCAGGAGGCCCACCAAGGTAAATCAGAAGAGAAAAGCTTGGGGTATATTTTCTCTTAGAGACAATGCTTGTGCAACCTCCATATGCCATGGTCATTGACAACCCCGCTAATAAAACACTTTTATAAAATAAATTGATCTAGACCTCAAAAATGTGCAACTTATTTCTAAAACTCTTGGTGCTTGAAGATGTTATTTAAGATAAGCTGGTAAGGCTTTGAATTTCATTGAAAATAGAGAAAATTTGCGTACTATAATTTTTCTTATATATATTTTTAATGTCATTTTTCATTTTTTCATTTTTCATTTTTTTGCTATATCAGCTTGGGTGTAGTCCCCATGAGATTCCCACCACCAGTTCACCCGTGCACCGTCAACATAGTCGCTGTACTCTTCCCACCCCTATTTTGATCTTAACCCTCAACCCCCACAGAATGTCTCTGGTTTATAGTTGTCTTTTAATTTTGATATTTACCTTACTATGATTCCTTTTTTCCCCCCTGATCCCTTGTTTTGATCCTTTACATTCTTCCTAAGAGTGAGACCACCTGGTATCTTTCCTTTTCTTTCTGGCTTATTTCACTGAGATGATCCCTTCAAGCTCCATCCATGCTGCAAATGGCTTCAGTTTATCTTTTTGATTACTGAGTAATATTCCATCTTGTATCTGTGCCACATCGCCTTGATCCAGTCATCTATTTTGAGCATCTGGGTTGTTTCCATCAGTTACCTATTGTAAATAGTGCTGAAATAAATAAGGGATATAGGTGTCCTTTTGAATTAATGTCTTTGTGTCCTTTGGGTAAATACCTAGGAGTGGAATTGCAGGGTCTATGGAAGACCCATTTTTAGCAATTTGAAGAACCTCCAAACAGCTTTCCATAGTGGTTGAACCACCAAAAGTGTAGGAGAGTTCCTTTTGAAAATAGAGGAAGATTTCATCCTTATCTTACTCAGTGCATAATCTTCTTTCAAAAAGACTATGTAAGTCAATCTTAAAGTATGATCCTGATTAAACAAACATCCAAATTTTGTGGAAATGAGTCTTAACTTGTATAAAAGATTGCATGTACAAAACAGTCTGAAATTTTCTACCTATAAGATACTTTATCAACTTCTGCCATTTATAGGTCCAATGGGTCACTGCAAATGGAAAACCCTCTTCCCAATATTCACAATATTGTTCTTATTATTGCCATTCTTGAAGCAGACTTGCTGATTTTTTTTAAGATTTATTTATTTTTGCATACAGAACTGGGGTACAGGCCAGAGGTGCAGGGGAGGTGAGAGGATTCACCAGAGACAGAGTGGAGAACAGAACAGGCAGATCAACGAAGTACACTGCTGAGGGGAGCAGCGGGCAGGTCAGGTGAGGTCTGCCGTACCATGTGGGTGAATCCTCTCACTGCCCCTGGACCTCTATCCTATACCCCAGTTCTGTATGCATAAATAAATA